TTAGCTGGTAATATGTTAGTTTCGTCAAAATATATCTTCCAATTCCTTAATATTCAAATTATGTTGAAATTTTTATGATAAAATAATATATATATAATAATAATTTTTGGTAGTACAGTAAAGCCGCACAAAACAAATATTCGAAAATAACTTTGTACAATATATTACAGAATTCGCACTTAGAAAATACGTCAAAGATTTACACATAGAAATATTTTACATTTAATTTCTCATTGTGCATATGGAGAAATTTTCAAAAATGCACATACATAATTCACTGCTACTCGTGTACTACTCCACTGATAGAAAACATAACAGTGGTACCAACCAACCGGCTAGAAAAGAACCCCAATATATTAGCTATGAATTTATTACACAATAGTAAAACCCCCCATAGACTAAAAAGGTATAGCATCCTTGAACTCCCTTACAGATTTTAAAATTAGAAGAATGTTTTTAGTTTAGTTAAAATTAATATTTATTTATATTATATTAGGTAATTTGGAAGGTTGTGCATGGAAAACTATTCGGCCCATTCACTTGTTGTGCTAGCAAATAATTTTTTTTTATTAAATCATAATTTTGGTATTTTCTCAACAAAAAAGTGTGTTTTATTTGAAATTTACAATTTCCGGATTTGCTGGGATACCCTATGCAAAAATACAAATTATTATAATTGTATATTATTTTTACATATACTACGTATCCAATTACGTAATAATTGTTAATGTTGCTGTTTCATATGATTGACACTAAGTGCTTATAAAAATTAATTTAGTTGTTAAGTGAGAATTACAGTTTTACTATAGTTGAGAAGAATTCCGTTGGATTTACAAAGAATTGCTTTAGGGTATCATTCAACTATGGCATTCATAGTGAAGTAGTTGAAATATTAGTTTAACTGTCAGTAATATTGAAATAATTTATTTACAATTATGAATAATTAAAAAAAATAAAGATTGTGAATGACTTGTTTGTTAGGTGTTTTATTTTCTAAATATCTATTGATCACAAAGTTAAAATTTATATTTAAAATGAAAGTATAATTTAAAAATCTTGATATATTAATAATAATGTTTATTGCAATAATAAATCACAAAAATATAAACTCAATTCAATAATAAATCACAAAAATATAAACTCAATTCAATAATACAATAATAATAATTAAATTATTGACCATAGGTTTTTCTGCCTGCATTATGTATTATTTCCATATTTTAAATAAAATAACAGATATTGTTTTAAGCAATAAATGAGAAATAAAAGCAGTCAATGAAAAACACATTTTTTAATGAATTGAAATACAAATAGTTTTTTAATGGAAGCCCCTCCTAAATGAAAATATACCCACGTAACTACAGATTTTAAGTGTACCTCATTGTTTTAATGACGTAATTTGATTTTTAACAAGCAAAAACAGGTATTGTTTATCTATAACTGTGAATGTGTCATGTGCAGTAAAAAGTGTAATTCGATTTCTCCACGTTTTCCATTATATTGTATATTGTATTCATCTGATTCTTGTCGAAGGAATTCCTTTTTATATGTCGTCTTGCAATTTACAGTAATGTATGTGTTCCTTCCGACAAGGCGCATACGTATATTGACTTTCAAGACGAAGTAAAAATATGTCAATCAGATGTAAATTCAAGGCAATTTTGTAGCTCACTCGAACACGGCCAAGATAAGAATGCGAAGTGAACCAGTATTTGTTTTTTTTATTATCCATGAGACAATGTAAATGGATTGACACAATACGTGAAAAAATAAAAATACAGTTAAGCATTTGCTTCCAAAGATAATACATAAGAACAATCGAGCATTAGAGTTAAATATACAAAAAATAATTAAGTAACTATAATGAGTATATTAATAATTCCTTACATAATGAAGCTAATGGTTAACTTTTATAAGATTTAAAAATTTAACTCTGTCTGAGTTTTGTATGCATATTGCTGCTTTCTATTTCATTTTTAATTAAACTGTAAATTCCATTCATTTCAATTATGATCTATTTACCTGCTTATATACAAAATGATTAGTTTAGACAATTATTTAATAATAGTTTCTACGAATTAGTTTTTTATACATTCAAATTAATAATTGTAAACTATTTATTTTACTCCAATTGAGAATATAATGGTTAACTTATGAATGTAGAACATACATATAAATAGATATGTACAGTCATACCTCGATTAGCGAATAACCATAAAATTACTTTGTTTAGCGAAGCTATGAATATGGATACCTTCGTAAAGATAAGTAAATGCTTTTTTTCGTTTAACAATAACCCCACTTCCTTAATTAGATTAATTTTTAGGTAGGAACATTTTAAATTTCGTCTTCATTTTCCATATATCAACAGGCTGAAGCGTTGCAATCCACTAAATTTAGTATATATATTTAAGTAATTATTAATGTTCAAATCATCATAATGGTAACTATCCACCAGGAAAGATTTCACATTGATGAACAGATTTTGAATATTATACGACATATTTTTTTCTTTATTAACAAGGTTTTCTAAAATCTACTAAAAAACCGTCATATTCTTTATTCAATGAATCCCTTTCATTCACAATTTTAAAACCTATTGGAAATATTATAGATAAAAATGGTATTTATTAATCCCCAAAATAATGATTAATATTTATTAATTGAATTTATTTTAATTGTGTAAACTACTCAATTAACTCCAATTGAATACATACAAATACAGTGGTACCTCAACATACGAGTTTAATTCGTTCCGTAACCTTGCTAGTATGTCAAATTACTCGTATTTCAAAGCATGCGGGACGCATGTTGGGGTCGTGTGCAGCGGTATATTGTGCGATTCCTCGTATCTCAAATCTTGCTCTCATCTCAAAGCAAAATATCGCTCTCTCGGCGGCTCGTATCTCAAAACACTCGTATATTAGGGCACTAGTATATCGAGGTACCACTGTACATATGCACAGTCATACCTCGATTAGCGAATAACCATAATAAATAATTACTTCGTTAAGCCAAACTTTGTTTTCAGAGGTAAAAATACTATGACAAGAATATGATAAATAGGATAAGTAGCAATATTTTTAATTTCGTCTTCATTTTCATTGTTTTCTTTGTTAACAAGGTTTTCTAAAATCTTCTACTAAAAAACCGTCACATTCTGCATTCAATAAATCCTGTTCATTCACATATTCAAAACCTATTGGAAATATTATAGATAGAAATAGTATTTATTAATCCTCAAAATAATAATTAATATTAATTAATTGAATTTATTTTATTTTTGCATATTTTACAGTAATTAATTGAAATCATTATTTTTTATCTCTAATCTCATGCAATTAGTGGAGTGATAAATAAACAAAAAATGTTGAATAATGAACAATCACAAAACTTTATCTAAATAAATCAAGAAGAGAAAGCAATGAATTATAAATCACAAACAACAAAACAAAAATCCAAAGCTTAAGATGTAAGAAGTATCATCATAAATTACTAGGAAACATGAAACTTTCCTCTTACAACACCTAATCCAGAGAGCTTATCATGTACAAGTGAATTTGATTAAACTAAAATTTAAAATATATATAAATAATGAATTCTAGACTTTAATATAGTTTACATAAAAATCACTAATTATAAATTATTATATATTTTTTGATTGATTTTTAATATCGTGTATGTTTTCTCAAAAAACTAAAATCATTTTTTCAAATAATATTGACAGTTTCATTGCGATTACTTCTAAATCTTAATTAATTGAAGAAATTAAATGGTATAATTTTTTTTTTTGATAAAATATGAAAAAAAAATAGTCACGTGAAATATTCCAAGCTGATTCAAATCATTAAGGCAAATAAAATAGGAAAATAAAACAAAAGCTTTACAAGAGAACAAATTAATTATACAAACATTAGTAAAATTGCATAATGTAATTATCGTATGTTATCTAATGAAAAATATAATAATTTAAGACCTACAAAGAATACTAACTTTGTCATTACTTATTAAAAGCACGAGATTTGTTAGTGTTTAATTTAATTTAAAGGAATAAATTCTTTTAGAAATATTTGTATTTTAATTTTGTCAATGTACATTTTTATTAATTTATCAAATATATTTTCAAACAAATAGTCAAATTGTCAGACATACCTTGTAAAGTGCGACTTCAATCAGTCAGGTCTCACTATAGTCCGATTTGAAAATTTAAAAACAAACTAATTTTTAATTCACAAAACAAAAATATATTCTAAAAAATTAATCTACAAAATTATAGATAGTCAAGTCTTTTTTTGTGCTGTTTATTTTTATATTCTTGATTAGTACGGTTTTTGAATGTACGGGATATTGGCGGAATATTATTACCCACACAATGAGACGTATTGCTGTATTTCAAAATATTTGATGTATTAATATATCTGATAATAAAGTATACAATTGCTAAGTGTAATTTACTATAAAGTATATTAGTTGTGAAAATACAATTTTAACAGTTTGTAAATAAATAAAAATAAAGTAAAAATTGATTAATTCGGTATTTAAACAAAATATAAGAAGTATAATTTATTACACTGTATATTTTTGTTAACCTAATCGACGAAAATATTGTCAGTTTGTGAGTAAATAGATTTGAAAATTGCATTGTTTTACATATTGCATCTTATATAACAGTATAGTAATATTTTTTGCGTTGATTGAAACTTAAACAGAATTGAGTGTCGTATGGACATTGGTGTAAAATTACTAAAATCTATTTCTTGTAATTAGAGGCGATTTCCACGGGTAAATAGAATGCTTTGAAAATGGAAATTTAAATGCTATTGGTATTGAATGCTCTTTAACTAGATCTTAGCGAACTTTCACTCCAAATCTCTTGCGCAGATAAATCAAACAACAAAACTAGATTTACTCCATTCGAAGATGTCTGTGTTTACGTGTTGTTTCACTGTTTCTTTTCTTTATTTTTCAGTCCTCGAATGTATGTTTACTCATTTATTTACCTTCTCTTAACGCCTCGAAGAATCCCTACTTTTCTTCAGTCTCCTGCCTCGTCTATATATTAAAGATTTAACGCGCGTTTGTTCACACGACACCAGTCACAAACTGCGGCCAAACGGAGGCCGTGCCTCCTTCCTCACCTGTTGAACTTTTTTTGTCGTCCTTCTTTCCTCTGCACTTCATTTTACGATGCACACGTGGTACGTCTCTAAAACACGTAACCCCATTTCCGGTTCGGGGGGTCGCGATTTGAGGCGCTATGGATGCACAAACTTTCCGGTTTGATCGTCGAAGCCTCAACCGGTTATTTTATTTTATTCAACGAGATACCCATTCGCCGTTATTGTCCCATTCCTCCTCTGACCTAAAAGACGTCTCCTTCGTTCGTCGATTATGCAACGCGATCATTAAGAAGACCTGATGCTGCGAGGGACCACAATCAAAAATTAGTGTCGTAAATCAGATTTGTTCGCCTCGCATTACATTGTTAAGGTTCCCATCTCGTTCGTTCATTTCATTGCGCAAATGTTTTATATAATCGGAATTAATTCATCGTTAACGGAGTGCTTTGTTGAACCGGGAAGAGCAATTCTCAACGGATTTGTACTCATTTGTTCTGTTTGATTTTCTACTTTAAGAACTCGCTTTTACTACAATTAAACATACTTCTTGCAGATGTCACGAGTTTAATATTAGTTTAATAATCTTTAAATTACATAAATGAAATTTTAATTAAAAACGTCAGAAGTTTTACTGCATTTAGATGATGTTAATTTATAAAGGTTATTCAATATTTTTACGTTTGGAAATTAGGATTAATACAGATACGCAAAAAATGAACATTATAATTTAAATAAGCTACAATTTTATTTGATTTTATTCACTTCATTTTCTTCTATTTGCAATATTTCTCCATTCCTTGTTTAGGTTAGATTTATAGATTCTGCCAATATCTGTTTAAAACTGTACTAATCAAGGATTTTAAAATCGCATAAAACTAAACAACACCAAAAGAGGCTTGATTCTATCAAGGCAAAAAACGATATTTTGATGTATAACATAATTTTGCGTACTAATGTTTTTAATTTATTTTTATTATGTTATGAAATTTTTAAACCGAACTGTAGTGAATCCGGACTGATCCGCACTATGAGAGGTACTGCTGTATTTGAAGCAAAATATTAATTAAAATGTATATAGAAATTCATATTTATATATTTAATAGCATATATAAAAAGTAATACATATACAAATCAATCCTCTTTTTTAATTGATATTATTTTTCTTATATTTTATAATATATTATACGAATAAATGTAATGAAATTATAACATACATATAAAATTATTATTCTCATTTGTCAAGTTTGCTTTTCTACATTTAAAACTCGCTTTTACTAGTTTCTTAATATTTCTCGCAGATGGCATAAGTTTAATATTAGTTTAATTGTCTTTAAATTGCATGAAATAAAATATAATTAGAAATGCTAGTAGAAATGCCAGCAGAAATACTTTTGTATATAACCTTTTGGTCTAAATTAGGACTAAGAAAAAGTTGTGAATGAATAAATAAATTATATATTAATTTCACGTATTCTTTATATTTTGGCCAATAAATATATTTATTATACGAAATGAAATATAATAAAAAAATCCAAAAAATATACATGATGCAAATTCTGAAAGTTAAGCATCTTTCTTCGTAATTAGTATATGCGTTTACAATTAACAAATGCTGTAGAACCTGTCTTTGTGCAGTTTTTTTTTATGCGATATATGAAATCCAACCAAATCCAACGTCGTTGGCACCACTGTAATGTTTTCTATCAGTGTGCATACGTACTGCCTGTTTAAACGATTATGTTACTCGATTTTGAACCAATTTATTTACATATTTACAATGAGAAATTAAATGTTTTTAAAATGTTTCCATGTGTAATTTAATTTTTTATTTTGTTTGGATGCACTTTATCATGTATTTCGTAAATCTTTGACGTTTGCGATTTTTTTAAGCGGTCTCTATACATCGCATAAAAAAGTTTCTGTAATGTATTATACAAAGTTATTTGTTATATTAATAATTTATGAAAATTTCCAAAAAAACATCGTTTTTTTTGCGGTCCCTATCTACCGCACAAAAAACGGTTTTTAATTGAATATTTAGAAGTTTAATCTCAATTTATTAATCTGCAATTTTTATATTTTGTTAAGTAAATATATTATTTATTGAACGAATCGAAATATAATTAGGAAAGCAAAAGGATACTCATGAGATAATTTACATAAACTATGTAAGTTAAGCATATGAAAATATTTGCTTTAAAAAATACTACAATTGAAAATATAAACATTGAATTGAAACCGGACTAATCGAGGAACTAAATACCAACACAAAAGAAATCACACAAAAATAGACTTTAAAAAGGGAATGAACAATCATTTATTTATAATAAAATAATATTGTGTACGATTTTTTTAGAATTTATTTTGATCAATTAAAATTTAGGTTGTTATGAAATTTTTAAACCGTATTATAATTAATCCGGACTGATCAAAGCCGGACTATGTAAGATATTGATTACTGTATTCTAAGAACTTTTAATAAAGTTATTTCATTTGGTTTTAGTACATTTTTTGAAGGATTACGGAGAAGATTATGTGTGTCGGGTTTTGTTAAAGAAGTGGAGAGCAGAAACTTCACATACTGAAAAGTTTTTCAGGTTAGTTTTGATTTTAGCCAAGGATTAGGAAAATGCGTGAATTTATTACGTCCATTTATAAACTCGCATATCTTTCTCAGTGAATAGGTCCAACATCGTTACGTTTGAAATAAAGTCATGTCCATCCCTTATATAATCCTATAATATATTATATTTTTCTAAATTTATTCAAGAATTAACCAGAAACATTAATTTGACATTGACCCACATTGAACGTTATATTTCTTTGACGTGTATGCAACCAAAATTGATGGCATGTTATTGCCTAGTTACTTATTATATACAGTAATACTTCGCACTTGTTTGAAACTGGACTAATCGAAGAACTAAATGCACACTTGACCGTTTAAATGCAAAAAAGAAGTTTATTTATGTATAAAAAAATAATTTTATGTCCTATGAATCCGATTGATTATATTGCTGTATATTTTTTAACAATCGAGTTTATTTCATAAACTGAGAATGATTTTAAGATATAAATATGATTCAAGTAAAATCAAATTTATTGAATGCATAAAAATACATATGAAATTTGCTCTAGAATATTTATTTTCCTAATTTAAAAATAAAATTGTAGAAATGAAAATTGCGGAAAAAAAGTATAGTTTATTTTTTTAATATTTTAATTTTTTTATTTACAATCTGTCATCTATGTGAACGTTGAGTAAATTTAAGATCACGGTTGACATTAGGTAGGTAATCTTTGTCGGTGGATATGATGATTATGATGATTTTTTAATTTGTGGGTTGACTTCAGTAGTATATTGATGTTTTGCGATTTCACTATTTCCTTTGACTGTGATCTGCTGCTATCCTTAACACTGTCATTGTCCATCGACTTGGCCTAAGATCCATATGCTGAACCTCATTCATTTGAATGTCCATCTGTGATGAACGATGGCCCAATTGCTGCAAGCACCGAAATGGCTCACAAAGGACCTGGCTTGACCAGGATTAAAACCGGCGCCCACGAAATCGTGGGTACGGCGACTTAACCATTCGGCTATTAGTCGCCCTTAAAATAGATTTGGATAATTAATTATATTTCCTAGTATATAATTCTATTAGATTTTTTAGTAAATAAAAAAAATACGTATAATTATATTTTGATTATGTTTTATATGGAATTTGCATATTCTGTCTTTTTTAATTTGTGTGTTAATTATAGATTGAAAAGAGACAAAAACTAGTTCATGTAGATTTGGATAGTGAAAGTATTTGTATAGTTGGAAATGTAGTCCCCAATATATCTGGTAGTAAATTTGCCTTAGGTGTGTTCCCATTTATATCGACATGTTAGTATAAACGGAAACGCTTGTTCAAAATAAATCTAACACGTTGCTCTCAACAATTAATTTGGATTTCAAAAGTAATACAGGTGTAGGTTGTAATTAATTGTAACATTACAATAGAATTGCAATATGCTTCAAGCGAAAACCGATTTTAGATCGGGCCACGTCATCATGTAATAACAACCAAGAATTACAGATCTTTTCTATACAAAATGGTCAGTTTATAAAATACTTATATAATTTTATACATTATAAATCATTCTAAATATGAGACTTATTTATTGAATAGAAAAATAATGTCGAGAAAACTAATTAGAATTATTCATACACATTTTTAATAAATATTATTTATTTATACATTTTCATTCATAATTAAAAGGAGCAAATGTGATTATTTAAAATTTAGATGAAAAAAGCAACATTTTCTGATTTCTATATATTTGTTTGTAATTAAATAAAGTTATATAAATTGTTACTTTCGATCTCACAAATTCGATTAATTAAAACACTGAGAATATTGCAATTTTAAATACATTCCAAATTTTGCAAAAAAAATGTATTTTATGTAAAAATAATTAAAAAATATATATAAAAAAGGAATGCCTGATATCTATGCAAATGCTTATTTTTTATGTATTTTATTTAAATTTCTTATTATTTGTTCAAAACTTTATGATAAAAATGGATAAAATTACATGACAATAATATTTCTAGAATTCATAAAATTGCATTACTAAGAATTATATCAAAGATAGTTGACAGTGGCTTTGTATTCCTAGAAGTCATAAAATTGTTTTACTAAAAAATAAATCATTTCCATGTAAATATTTTATTGAAACCTGAAATTATGATTTAAGAATTTCCATTTCAAGTGAATTATTGCTTGAAATTTACATATCTCTGAATTATAGAAAATGTACACGTACATACGTGATCAATCGATCCTATTCATACTTTACCTGCTAGTTTTCTACTAAATTATTGCGATTTTATTAAATACAATATTTTTACTTCTAATTATTTTGATAAAATCCATCAAACAAAATATAATTTATTAATCAAATCATAAATTATTAAGGTTTATTAATTAAAATTGTTTAATTTATTATTAATATATAACGTCCATATATATTTTACTATAGTTTCAATAACTTTCTTTTCTTCACAACGTAAGAGTTATTCGAGGTCAACGTTTTCTAATCTACGCATTGTGTAGGAATATGTCCAAAGATCCCTTTCGGTATTGATCTTCTCCCGCCTTTGCAATCCATCATTTGAGTATTTTCTTCCTTGATATAATACTTTGAAATTCTTACCTTACACAATTCATAAAAGCATGAAATATATTATTATTTATTGGAGTATTGCTCGAAATATAGGTAAAAAAAAAAGAAATATAAACAAATGTATTTCAATATGAAATATTATTGTAAATATAAAATATTATCAAAAAACAAATTGAGACAATCATAATAAATAGCAAAAATTAAATATAACAACGTTAAATCACGCATTTAAATTAATTTATAAATAATTATCTAATTAATGAAATCTAATCGAGGGGTCAAATAAATTATCTACTATTACGAATTTATAAATGCAGTGAATATTTTAAATTAAATATTTTTTTTATTTACTATATTATTAAATCATTATTCTTACCTTAATGGAGCCAATTTACTTAAAATTTTCTGAGAATAAAATAAATATTTCACCGAGTAATATAAACGACTTTATTGGTTAATTATTTGTCAGATCAGTTAACAAATAAATCGCATTTATACAGAGTTCATAAATAAATCATCAAATAAAGAAACGGTTGTATATTTTCTAAACATAAAATTCATCCTTCTATGTATATATATTATATTTGACTTTATTAATCTTACATTACTCATATGTTTGCATTTGTCACATAATACATCTCTGCTTAAAGACTAGTTAAATTACATTTACAATATTTTTATATATTGAATCTTTAAAATTTAACATTTAAATATATCTTTTATTTATTTAGTTAATACTGATTTTGTTTCAGGATATGTATTTAAAAATATTACATATTATTACATTGATTGTTACAGTTTGCCATCCAGAGGTTAATTAAATATTTGTTCATTTTATTTTGTTTATACCCTGTACGAATAAGCAAAATCTATTCATTTTTGGCGTAGGAATAAAAAGAGAATAACTGTAATATTTTCCATTTTACGTTACATTTCCAAACATTGAGTATTTACGCAACAGGTGAGAGAGACATTTAGTAAAATATATTTGGAAAATAGAGTTTCACATTTATTTATCGCACTAAGCTTCTTAATAAATATCTAGTTTAATATCACATCGAGACATCACAATGAAAATAAAATGAAAATCAAGCGGTAAATAGACTGAGGGGTGTGCTAATGTTATTTTCTCTACAATACGATCTCCGATTGAACGTTGATACAGTTAACAAATTCATCTTCTTTGGACCACATTTCGGAATTCTCGCTGTTAGGCCAACCGATTAATGCTTGATCATCCAGATTCATGTAGAGTCCGCTTGAACCTTCCGAAGCTTCTGAAGAATCGCTGCTTCTGTCTAGCAAAGGTTTGCATTTGGAATTCGGTCCATCGCTGTCGTATTCCGAATCCTTGTACTTGATCTGTCTCCATTTCTTTTCTAATAAGTTAGTGCTTGAATTGGAGATGCGCTTGGATGGGGTATTTACGTTTGAGTGAGTTTTGTCGCTGTCTTCAGAGAGAGCTCGAGTTATTAATATGCGAGGAGATTTCTTTGGTGTCACTTCAGGTTCCGTTTCAATTACTTTCTTATCGTTTTCCAATCCGAAGAACTTTTGTAGAAGCAAGTTGGCTGTGCTTACAGTCGGTTTGTTGTTTAACTTCTGAAAGTCATCTATGTCATCATGCCTTGGTATTTGTAAGGTGTTGCAGCTACTGGCTTGAGGTATTCGTTTCTCGTCGGTAAAATGTAGGCCGTTTGCAGACGAAGGGCGCCAGGTGAGTTCGGATGCTATACGTTTCATCTTAGGTTTCGAAGGACTGGACACCTTGTGCGGATCGAGGAAGGCTTCTGATAATCGTCTGGGGATGCTCGGACGAGTGAAGAACCCTAAAGGAGTCAAGCTTTGGCGGCGCGAACCGCACGTCGACGGTGTCCTTGCCTGAATCTCATGATTTACTTCGCTCTTCGTTAGCTTCTTCCTCCAATAGTTCTGGAATGTCTTGCGGAGCATTTTGTTTTTCAGCCCGTATAGGAATCCGTTTATCGAGGGCGAACAGGTCAGGAGGACTAAAACTATTCGGTAGAAGGAGGGGTGAGTTTCGGAAGTGTTAGAGTTCACTAAGAAAGTTATTGATGATTCCCATAATATTATAGTGTAATAGGGTAGATAGAGGATGAGGAATGAGCCTAGTAGTTGGAGGACCGTGGAAATTGGAGATCTTGAGCGGAATTTGGGGCCTCCCGCCGAGGGGGCCGTTACCGTAGGAACGAAAAATGGATTTCGTTGATGAGTTATCGTCACTTGAGCCGATAAAGTTACTTCGTAAATCGCCGATGCTATTCGATGCCGATGATAACGAGCTATCATCAAGATCTATAAAAAAAACATGTAGAAAACAACACATTTGTGAATTATCCGATCAATTAAAGCAGTTGCATTACCTTGATGTTGCAGCAAATAATTAATGTAATTGGCAAGAGAAGAGTAAAAGCCGTGAAAGCTGCCGAGTACCAAATAGCACCTTGTCCGGAGGAGAAATCGGGAACGCAAGCCCCTAAAGCTTTGTTAAAAGTATAAGGAGCTATAGTGAAATAAGGAGGAACGGACAGGGATAATGCTATCACCCAACCAACACCTAAACATAACAATACCTAAAAAGAATAACCATAACTAACCCAAAAAAAACAACAAATAAAATACTCACTTTTTTCGGATTAACTAAATGCCCGTAATGCAGAGGTGCAGCTATTGCATAATAACGATCAGCGTTTAATCCGCAGATCGTCCACAATACCAGTGGATGAAGAATTGTAAAGAAAAATCCATGCAGAAGGCACGGAGCTCCACTCGATAGCCACTCGTAATTTGATAGTCCAGGAACAGCGAAGAGGAGGAATAAGATCCCTAAAGCTACGTTCAGAGCTCCGAGATGCAGTAAAAGTAAATTATTCGCGGTGGTTGCCTGAAATTGCGAAAATTATACGTTCCAAATTAAAGGAAATTGCAAGACGTTTTTTGCTTTACTTGTCTGGAGAACGAAACTACGAGTAGGATGTAGGTGTTGACTACAATGCCAAAAATTGATATAAAAACGAGCGGAATCGTAAGCCATAATGAAGTCATATCTAAATGCTGTCGTCACATCTGAAATAGTGGATCGGAAATGCATCCGTCGTCCATGTTTCTCTGAAAAGAAAGAAAATATAATTAAATTGGTTATTCATAGATATCTAGAGGACGATGAAAGCTTCAAGATCGATATCAACATGTCTACTTTATTTTTCATTCAATTTGTGGACCCGAGTGTACCTGGACAGCTCCTAATGCAACCTTTAAGCGCTTGGAAAAGGGTGGCTCCTCTTGAAAGACACGATCTTGTTCAATTTCACCAAAGCCCCGAGAAGAATAGCCCGGAATTATTGTAAAAAGCAATGTAATACAACGGAGGGGAACCAACAATTCTTATTATTTAGATTGAGATAACATCACATTTGATAGCGGCAAAGCGTATAATTTGGTATTCTGCAGAAAACCTACGAATATTGCTTTATGTGTCGTGGAATTTACCAAAATACAAAAACATGATATGATATTTTATCAAATGTTGTAAGGTAATAAATTAGTTGTTAATAAAAATCGAACATTCTTTTCCGGAATGTCACAGGAAGGACTCTTTTATTACAACATACTTTTAAAGTATAGTTATTATTAATACTCATCTTATCATTTTACAGTAGCTAATGTAATAAGTTTTTATTGAATCAAATTTAGAACTACGTATAAATTTAAGAAAAAAACTTATTTGGTGTAGTGTTTGTAATGAATGTATATAAAAATTAAACTATACTAGAGTACAATATCAATTACCTATCTTTGATATTTATATCAATAATTTCATAATATTTTACGAATCAACATTTGAAAGTGCCTTTTATTAATAATATTATAAATGACAGGAATGAGAAATATGGAATCAGTCAAGATGTGAAAGTTCCAACACATTTGGAATATAATAGAAATTAGAGCCAAAACAGTGTTTATTATTTATATTGAGTTATCATTATATTTGTGAATATAAAACATTTATAAATTTTATAATATTTCTTGTAATAACGTGCCTTTTACTTGTAAAATGAATCATATTATAAAATGACAGTAAAGTAATATATGTAATATTATAAAGTATCTAAGGGACGGAACGTATTTCATTTCAAGTTGCCTCTCAAGATGCGCAAATGCCAACACATTTGAAACCTTTATTCGTACAGAAGAAAGAAAGGAACGCATTCGTGTCTTTGGCAATGCAAGGGAAATTTCTACTATGGTCTCTAAGGGTCTCTCTAACTGTTCAGACGGAAACAATAAAACTGAAATGCTAATATTCCAATCCGCTAAATTGGACTTAATTCGGTGTAAAGGGGAGGTGGGGGTTAGCTTCAAATTAATCAAACAGAGAGCCGAGCAGAACTTCAAGCTTTCCGTTTTCCCCAATACCGTGCATCCAGGCTATCTATTTAGGATACAAATATTCGATGGATGCACGAAGAGCGGACTACTCTCTTAATTTCAACTATCGAATGAAAAATCTATTGTTGCAATTAAGATGAGATTCAGATAGAATTCAATAAGTAATACGTAATTCTATTGACATTTGAAATGTCTTTAATTGACTGAAAATTAATATTTTCTGCCAAAATACTTTCTGTTTACGTGGAAATTAGTTATAATTAGATTATGAGGAAAAATAGCTTTATGTTGTCAAGAAATTGACTGAGTCGTATTTATTTTTAACTAAATATAAGTGAGTGACTATTTTTAGATTGAACATACATCAATGATGTTAAATAACACAAAACTATTTAAAATATATGAAAAGTAAGGATTTTTTTATACCTGTACTGAGGTTTTAAAGTTCACAGCATTTCAATTCCATGAATAAATAGTGATAATTGTTACTATGCAAAACAAAATAAATTATTTACAGTAAAATGTTATAAAAATGGTTTCAAATTTGGTGACTTCAGTTTTTTTTTTAATAAAATAATGTTTTTTTCTTTAGAAAAGTCCAGCTAATTAATTTAGCTCCTACCATAATTTCTATATAATACATAAAAATACTATGAGTTAGATACATTTTAAATAAAGCTTATAGTTATATTGTTCAAATTTACTTAGAACAAAATTGTGAACCAACAACACTTTTTATATTTTTTTTAGTAATATTTAGCTATGGAAAAATCATTTACCAAAAATCTTTAGCTGAAAAAGTAGTATGTATATTCTTATACCCAATATATGTACTTGTTTGAAGTTGTTTTACGACCCAACCTTTTCACGCCTTGACAACTATTATTTAAAAATTTAACGTTGTCATTTAAAAAAATAACCTGACCCAATATTGCGACCCATTTCTTCATTTTTGTCGCAATGTGACAGTTGTCATTTAAAAAATTAACGTGATCCAACAGTGCGACCCAATAGTTCATAACATACAATTTTTGACATAAAGTGATCGTATTGTTTTAAAAGTCTTTTAATTCTATTTTTAATAACTATCTACTATTTATAACTGATATTAAATGAAATAATATTATTTAACCTTTGACTCTGGACATGCAAAGATTCATATACATATTCGAATAACGCAATTTCAAAATCGAATTCTGAAAGATAATATTAATATTTTGCACGCAATTAAACAAGAAAACCAAAAAAAAAGAGATAACCATATAGTATGGTAATTATGTGTATTTATCATCATGTAGGTCGTATCCTTGATAACCCGTCAAATACAAGTGTTGTTTTTAAGTATAAATGTATGGGATTGCTTCCACAGATTTGCAAAGCATCATTTAATATCATACGATGTTGAAAATACAAGTGCTTTGGTTTTGCGCTTTCTTAGCTCACGCATACTCAAAAGGTAATAATAATTTAATATACTACACTAATATCGAATTGAATAACTTTTAATTGATAATTATCAAAATAATACTAGGAATAAAATTTCATAAAAACTCAATTCCATAAGTATGTTTTCCATATTTTTCAAACGGTAACGATCACGATGCTGCTTAACTATTAAGCTGCCATACATTAAGTACTCTATAGATTCTAATCATTTTATCACATTCCTTTTAATTTATTAAAATATTTTCTTAATATTTATATAATGATTTATATAATGATTCTAATTAATCGTTGAAACATTATTTTCATTGTGTTGATAATACAAAATTTCAAAGTACTAGAAACTATATCTATAAAAATAGTAATTCAGTATGAAGCTAATTGTATATAAACATTACAAACTCTCAAGTATTATATTACTCAGATCATGTAATAAAAATATTACAAGCAGTTTTAGAATACGTCGAAATAGATATATTTGTTGTTGTTTCAGAGTATGTGGTTTAGTTTGTATTTGGACCTACAATATCTTAACATATCTATTTTATTTTTCTATTTCTGAAATAATTAAATGTTATTTACAACACACAGTACGGTTTCAAATATTAAAAATAAAATATTTGAGTACTGAATGAAAATAAAAATTTCTCTATACAATCAAGTATATTTTTTTGTAATTTATTGTTGCAATAAATATTATTTAATTATTGTTTACATCGTCTTCTATTTGCTGTTTACCTTGAAAGAAGAATTATTAGAATAATTAGAATAATTTCATCTGTTTTTTTTTCTTTCTGAATAACGTCAATGCCAACCACGTACATATATTATTTGTTTAATGCATATTCAAAGTCTGAATTCGTATTCTGATTGGAATTTATATTTGAAAACATAAACATATTTTTTAAATTCTCCAACCATTTATTAATCTTAATTGAGTCAAAAAGTTATTGGTCAGGAACTTTCCACCCAGATAATCATGTAATATCCAAAGAACTGTCTAATTACAAAATGAAAGATTCTCGCTAATGCAAACATATTTTTTAAAGTATAAATTTCCTGCATTCATTAAATGATGTATATCAGGGTTTGTTTTTATTTCTATTTTAAATAGTTCCAAATAGAAGAATTAATCTAATAAATGATAAGAAATCATCTTAACTCGTGGCACACGCATTATTCCACCTTTTGAACATCCCTAGTGGGGCATTATTATATTTTTTTTTAAGAAATGTCTACCAAAGAGGAATTATCATTTCGTAGCTATGTGAAAGGATGAATCAATGTTCAACATCCTATATTGATTCAGTTGACTTAGCTATATGATTCAGTTGCCTAGAAATTTGCTGGGTCTAGAAATTTAAGAAATTCTGGCTTTTCAAAGAGTTAAATGAAAATATCTTAAATTATCAATATATAATTGTAATCATGACTAAATTTGTACAAGATACAATATTTCTTTTTTTTTGTTCTAACATAATACAGCAATACGTCTCACATTGCATTTTTTTATCAATCCGATTTCACTAAAAAATAAAATGTGAAAATTTCAAAAGGAACTAAATTTTAATGGACTACATAAAAATTTATTCTAATACATTAGAACATATAATTATTTCTTTATACATAAAAAATCGTTTTTCTTCTCTATTTATACAGTTTTAATTTCCCGATTAGACCGGTTTTAAACAGTCTGTGATATTAGTGGAATCGATTATCCGCTATGCGAGTTATTGCTATATGGTTATTGTTTTTAACTTGATGCAGCTTTTGTTTCTGTATTTATTGTAAATTAACTGATGTATAACGATAATCACGTTATAATTGTCGTGTAATGGTTGTATTAGCTTGAACAATTTTTTTTTAGTTATTACATATTTCAGAATAAAAGCAAAATCGTATTTTGAAAGACTTAAGTTGATAGTATTTTGGTCCAAATACATATCAATAAAAATTGTAATAAATAAAAATATTGTACTTTATAATAATAATAAATACCGGTATGCCTCGATTGACACAGTTACTTCCTAGTTAGTTAACTGTAGTGTGAATACATTTTACGATTCAATACATCAGTGAAAGTTACGTTCTAAAACCTACCATAAATATTACATAGATGGTGTGTCTTAAGTATTTGTGATGGAAAATCACCATAGATGATTACAAAATTTGTTGGTCATCATAACATTCGTTGAAAAAAGTACGAAATTTATATTTATTAAAAAAATACATATATATAACAGTTTATTGATTGTAGTCTATAGTTCTACTTAAGAAAAAAAAATAACTAACTAACAAATGTATAAAAAAAAATATTTATAAACCTTAGTTTAAATAAATATTATAGCAAAACGAGAATTAAATTTATGATAGTTTTACATATTACTTTTATCGAAATATCCTTTTAGTATAGAATTGTTATGTCACATTACGTTTATAAACAGAAGACGGGATTTTCCAAAAGTGAATGAATATTTGTGACAACATGTTATGCAAATTTACATAAGATTGGGTAGAATTATTTAACAGTCTTAGAATGAAATCATGTTATAAAAATACCGTTTTATACAAGTGATACTTATAAATAAATGAATTAAAAAATAAAATACACGCTACTAGATAACCAATACCATAGGATTTATGACAACTGTCTTATCTGATAGATATTTGTAGCGGCAATAACACAACTTAATGACAATTTGACTTTATCGCCTTATATTGTTTATTTATAGCTTATTTACAATCGTTATCATAAGGCACTTCGCTTCGTTAATGCATATATGTGTGTATATATTCCAAAGCCACGAAACGCTTTCGTAACGTTATTTTATTTTCTGTTTACGAAAGTGAAATCACTTTCGTTGCGTCGCGCTACACAATTCAGTGAGAGTTTCCATCCAACGCGATATGCATTCACCAGTGAATTTCGTGCACCTGTTATAGGATAAATAAATATTTTGATGGTTTCTTCAGATCTCTCAGTGGCCTTCAGGGCTACATTAGTGAACGAAATTCAACCGAACTTCGCAGAAAACCTGAGGCGGGTAAGGATAGCTAATTAATAGTATATAGTAATAGTATATAGTATAGACCTTTGATTTTAGGCGTTCAACAATGAAGGAATTAGGCAGCAGAACATGCAGAAGGTCAAGTACCTACTGTTCAGCAATACCGCGCATTCCAGGAATTCGTGTTACATGTAATTAGAATAGTTCGGAAAGTGACGGATATCTGTTTATAATGTCAAGTTTTAGGTCTCACAAGAAAATCCAGATGTTTCCGGTGCCGGAGTTTCGTGTAAATGAGTTCAAGGTTGATTTGGCAGAAGCCGTTATTCATATGAATTTGAATTTGGGAAATTCAACTATTGTTACTGACATGGAAATTGTCAATGATACAATGTTTAATGGAATGTACAACGTTTCGAATAACAATTTAAAGTTAGTTATCTGAATATTATAAGTTTATTAGTTTAACTTATGAGTTTTTCAATTTTAGAATTGATTTTATTGGATTATCTGCCTCGGTTGTCGTTGGATTCGCGCCAGATGAAGACAGTTTTGTTCCTAAAAACTATAATCTACAGGTCATACCTGATGAAATCAAAATTAATGTAAGTCTATAACAATTTAATGTATTTATACACTTCAATATAGTGCAGGAAATTGGTTCCACCAATATCCCGTATTATTTGAAACTGGACTAATCGAGGAACCAAATTCTGACTAAACAAAATATTTTTATTTTTCTCGATAAAAATTTAGTTTGTTTTCAAATTTATAAACCAAACTAATTGAAGACGCACTGTGCGAGGTATTGTTGTACTTCACGATTGAATACTATTTAATCACGTAAAAGTAATAAGTACGAAAACAGTTTCTACACACGTTTTTTATTCCAAACTCTTACCACGTATATACACAATAACGGAAAGTTACATATTTTGTTTTACATAAAAGCATATTATTGTTCCATAAATAATTGAGATATAAAGTGAGTTTTGACAGTTTATACCGAAGTCAGAATTCATTTAAGCTTATTATTCAGTCTAACAATACATTTTATTTTAGTAAATATACGAAGAAAAATATATTAATTATGTCTGTATTTATTTTATAATAAAATAATAAAATTATATAAATAAGTACAGACAGAAAATTATGATATAAAAATGACATTATTTTATTTTTTTACTGTCAATTTTATTTATTTATATAAATAATACTATACTAAATAATATTTCCGTAATGTTTTAAATAATGTCTAATACTGATCTGATACTGATTTTTAATATAATATATATTTACTAGGCATAGTTAAATCATGAGTGGACAAATTCAAAAGTTAAATAAGTACATTACTGATTGATAAAATGTTCCTTTCACATACAGTAAATTGAATGATAATATCAGTAAGTCAACTAATCCTAGATTTAGATTTTTATATTATTTCTGCTATCTGCTGTATTTTATTACAATGACACACTTTTTATTTCTCGGTAACAATTAATATGTTTCCAAGAATTAATCCATGTATCGTTTTATAATTATGTTCACCACTTATTGATTAGAACTTATCTTCAATTATTACTAAGAAATAAAAACTGGAAAACAATTTTATATATTATTTATATTTATTAAAATATATAGTGGAACTTCGCTTTACGAGCACCTCACTTATCGAGCAAAATAAATTCTAAAAATGATTCGCTTAATGACGTTTGACGTTTTGCTTAATAAGTGACGATTGTGCGCACGTTGCATTTTAAAAACTTGTTTTCACTTATCATTTGTATTTTTATATGTTATTGGTGAAAAGCAAAATCATTAAAAAGAGAGACCAAGTTATACTTTTTTTTTCGACATGGAACGCATTATCGTATTTTAAATTATATGGAGAAAAATCTATACTATACGATTAATACATTATACAAGTAAAAATCCGGAAATTCTGGAACGGATTATTCTCGTTAAACGAGGTTCCAGTGTATCTTTTTATCAGATTAAACTATTGTATTTAACATGAAGAATAATAATATTATACAAATAACTGTATTGTAAATAAACATCATGATTTATATAAAAAATAAGAGAATAATCAACAAATATTTTGAGAACTACTGGAAATTACTTTTAACAAAAATCTTACAGATTATAATATATTTCATTATTAAATAAGAGTTTAAATAAAAATAGACACTGTCAATATATTTTCTGTTACTAATTACAACTATTCTATTGGGTTTTCCGGAAAGTTAGTGCCGATTTTTTTGAAAATAAAAAATCAAAACTTTTATATTTAAATTTTTAATTGTTTATGGACCATTTGTAGAAATCGGAAATTGTCTGGTGAATACAACTCTGTCTGACTCCAACAATTTGAAGTACAAGAAATATAATATTACTACTCTCAGATTTCATGAAAAAAATGAAGAATTATTTGGATTAATTTTTATAAAGAATTTATTAATTATTGAAATTTAAGTTTGTAAATATTATTACTGATATTTTTGTTACTTTCTAGCTATTAGAAAATAACGTTGGAACACCACAAATAGTGAAGTTTTTAGCAAATGGTAAAAGCCAAACGTGAAATATTTACAAGTTGGATTAATATGTTTTTTTTCCTATAAGATTATTCACCTGCTACCATTTTTAAGAGTCAATTAAATGAGAAGATCCGCGGTATGCTTCATTGGCAGCTCGGATCAGTTTTGGTGGAATATTCTGTGAATGAGCTACTACTGGACGAGGATGATGAAATCCGGTAAGACGAATCTTCAGACATGCTTGGAAATATATAATTTATGTTTATTTTTTTTTATCACGTTTCCAATTAAAATCTAATTTTATTTTCGTTTTTGTGCAGGGAATACAAAGATTACCTCAGGAAGCGTGTGCTGAAAGCTAACAGTATTATTGATAATTTGGTTAACACAGCGAAGAGTCGGAAATTCCTGAAAGATATAGAATTCCCAACCGATTTTATGCTCCCTTACAAACAGGAAAAAGCTTCAGTGATGAGTAAATTAACAGGGAAGGGAATTATCAAGGACGTTGCGAACCTCACAAGGCTCCATGATTGGAGCTTACTGGAAACTAATAAGTCTATTATGGCTTTCGGTTCCTTGTCCATTAAAGATTATAAGGTAAGGAGTTGTCTAGCATAATTTAGTGTTTCAAGTTAATTTGATTTTTGTTTCAGTTTGTTTATGATTACAAGACTGAATATATGAATAGCAAAATACAGGGGAAAATTTCTGCTACTATTTATAAAAACCAATTGAACGTCGAGATGCTGACTCTCAAAGATACTTGTCAAACAAGAGTTGAGATTTTAAGTACTGAACTTAGGTAAGGACAAATATTTTAACAATTTTTTTTTTTAAATGAAAATTAATTTTATTTATTTATTTCAGTGATATTGAAATCGATATTTCTGGATTAGGAGGTTTAAGTTGGTTGCAGCCTAATATCCGGGATATAGTTATTGGTACCATCCATGTAGATACATTGTATAAGGTGGAAAGACATTTGGAGAAACAGTTGACTGCTGCTCAAAAAGGAAGTAGTTGTATAACACTTTAATTGTATACATATTCTTAAATATAATAATTTCTTTGATTAAATTATTTATTGTAGTTTTTTTTTAATTTAATAATAGAAAACAAACAAAATGTATACTTTGAATATACATAGCTTTATTTATATAAAATCATTTATTAGAAGCCTACTTCTTTAACTCAGTAAAGGACAGTAAGGTTCCAATAAATTATTAAATTCGTGAAATTAACATTAACAAAAAGAAAAATGTGATAGAAACTGTCTTTATCAAAGGAAAATATAATCGAGGTATAACTGTATATTTCATTTGATTTGAGTTTTTTTTTT